GCTTGGCTGATGATCTGGATGCGCTCCCTGCCAGGCCGCCGGGCCGCCGGGCCGCCAGCCCCTCCTCTATATCCCCTTTAGTGTCGTTACTTTTATTGGCCCTGATCGCAAACGGGGCTGCGGACACTATGCGCCCTAATGCGCCGAGCGGGGACACTTTTATTCTTTTCGCTCCGCCGAAAAAGAATAGCGACGAGTTTTGCCAGAATTTTCAGGAAAAAAAGGGGGGGGTTGACTGTGGTGTTTTGTTTGGTTTCATTTGGCCCGCTTTTTGGGGGGGCTGAGCGAAAAGAATAACGACGAGTTTCGGCCAGAATTTCAGAAAAAAGAGTCTGACTGTGGCGGTTTTGTCTTTATTTCGGCCCGCTGTGGCGGTTGGTGGGGGCGCCCGGCTCTGCGGTCGGTGTGAAGCCGCCGGAGGGATGCATCCACAAAGTGACAGCCACCCTGACGGCCCGACGGCCTGACCCCGCATCGCCCCGCATCGCCCCGCATGCCGCGACACAGCTGCGGCCAAGTATCACAGTGTGTCCGCACGCCGCGCCCGCGCCGCGTTGACGCGTTGCATGAAAACTCTGATGCGACTTCCATGTAGTGGCGTTGTTTTGATGCGCTCTGTCGTCCCAGCAGCGCGGCGCACGCGGTGACAGCGGCAACTTGATTTGTTTCTGAAAACGCGCAGTCCTTTCATTCGGATGTCAGTGCGTGTCGGCGGTTAGGGCGGTCGCACAGTGGGCTAGAAAACCGGTGGAGAGTGGTCAAAATCCCGGACGCATTTTGAGCTCCAGAGATAGTCGTTCCAAGACTCAAACCAAGCGTGTGGCCCCATCAATGGATTGCTCCTTCGGAGAGGAATCCATTGGTGGGGTCACGCGCTTGGTTCGAGTCCCATTAAGCGACTTGAGAGCTCAATACTCATCCGGGATTTCAACCGCCCTCTACCATTCTCCTGGTCCACTGTGAGTCGTTCGCCGGGGGGAAAAAGTGGGAACTAAAAGCCGATTTGACGGCGACGCTGTGCCAACATTGACGCTTGTATCCATCCTCGTTCGGGCGGCCGAGCCCGCCGCGTTTACAACGCAAGCGCTATGTTTGGCGTCAAGAGGTTTAGCGTCGCCAGTTGGCACCTCTTGGCTTGGCAGAGTTGGCAGCCCTGCGGCGCGGTGCCGCGTTGCCGCTGGCGGGCTGCCTGCGAGCGCTAAGGGGCCGAGGGCCGGCAGGGCCGAGGGCCGGCAGGGCCGGCGGGGCCGCTTCCCTCGCCACTCCCACTGCATACTCAATGGAAGACAAACAAAAACATATCTGCCGAGTCGGCGCGGCTCGGGGCGCTCGGGCGGACGTCGGTCTCCGTCAGCGCCGCCCCTTCAACTTCACGGGGGCTATTAGCTCGTCCGCCGCGGCGCGCGCTTTTCTGATTTTTCCTGATAACGGCCAACTGCGACGAAAATGAATGATTCAACTCTTTGTGAGCGTTTCGGCGAAAAGGGTTGGATCGGCAAAGCTGGCTGCAGCGGGCTATCCGGATAAAGGGAGGGTTCGCCGCTGGGGGCGTTGGAGTCGTCCCGAAAGTTGGGCCGCGGGACGGCCGACCCGCCCGGCATCGGTACGGTACGCATTCAGGAGCGAACCTTGGCAGCGACGGAGTGGGGGCATCGCCAAGGCATCGCCAAGGCATCGTCACGAGGAAAGGCAGATAACAAAATGGATAGTGGCTGCATCGCCGTGGCAAGGCTAATGCCTCGGTCGCCACTTGTCGCTTCTGGTGATGGATTTCGCTAATGAGTCTCGGAAGAAGCGGGCGGGGCGGGGTGGGGCGGGGTGGGCGTCACATGGCGGCGACGGCGCCCGGGGACGAACCCCCAGACTTCGATCTTGACGTTATTTCCACGATGGATCGTCCCCTGTCTGCGCAGCGGGTTCTTGGCCACGGGCAAACAGAGGGCCAGAACACCGCGTAACCCTGATGTTTCTGTTGATTTTGTTTTTAAATTTAACTTCATCTTGAGGCAAGCACGTGAAAAGGACCAACGGACCCAAGGATTCCTGTTTCGGGAAGAGTACCTCGGCTCACGGTGGTCCTGAAATGGCCAAGCCAGACAAGGTCCAGCTGTCCTCACCTACACCGCCCTCAAAATGGCATTTGTGCTGGACTTGTGTCGGGATGGATGGATGGATGGATGGATGACTTTTGCCGACACGTCGTAGGATCTGTGCAAACGGCCAGAAGCCTGGCGGACTGCCTCCGACACTCCGAGGATACAGTTTGCTGATCAGTGTGAACCTTTCCGTACGGCGTCTCGGGTGGCCGAGGTACGGTGTAGCGCCCCGCCCCGCCCGCCCCGCCCCGCCCCGCCCCACCCCGCCCCGCCCCGCCCCGCCCCGCCCCGCCCCGCCCCGCCCCGCCCCGCCCCGCCCGCCCCGCCCCGCCCCGCCCCGCCCCGCCCCGCCCCGCCCTGCCTCGTGGGTAAACAGAGCCTGACCGGCCAGTATTGTGTACAGCGTGTCGCGTCCGAGGCATCCGTCCCTTTTGCAGTGCAGCGCCGCGCCCCTCGGACGCAGCCCCAGATAAAGGGGGCCGTCTTTTGTTTGCCGCTAAAATACTCGGCCGTTTTAATTAACGAGTATGCGAGTGATTGTTAATTATTTTGCCGCCACGCCCCACCGGCGATGCAGTCGAGAGAGAGAGAGAGAGAGAGAGAGAGAGAGAGAGAGAGAGGAGAGAGGAGAGAGAGAGAGAGAGAGAGAGAGAGAGAGAGATTGTCGAGGTTCTCCGCACGCGAGTTCCTTGGCGCAGAGCGTCCGCCTCCCTCGCTGTAAAACGCGCGTCGAGGTGTTCTCTCTTTTTTTTCGGACGGAATCAGTCCGTCGGGATGTAAACGGCAAGCGTTAGCGTTGCTAATTCGCTCGTGCATCGCAGGCAGCACTGAATAAGTGGTCTTGTTGCGTACAAACGGCCCGCCCCGCCTCGGCCCTGGCGGCCCTGGCGGCCCAGGCTCGCTTCGGGCGACTTGAAATATTTACCTCGGTGGCCGGTGTAGCCAGAGTAGCTGCCGGACCACCCCTCAGTATCCTGTCGGACCGGGGGCCGGCCGCCTGACACTGACGCACTCTCGGTCGGCGGGGCATTACCTGATAGGCCCGTCCTCGACTGTAGACATCCAATTCGTCGGGGACGCCAAAAAAAGAGAGAAAACGAAAAAAAAGCATCGCCGCTGTCGGAAACAACGAGAATGTGTTTCCTCAAAATCAGAGCAAAGTCCAGCGCACGAGTACGATGTGAGCTTGGTTCGGTTGTAGTCCAATTTACCGACTCTAGAGGTCAAAACGCGTCCGGGATTTTGACCACCTTCATCGCTCTTCTGGCCCACTGCGCTCCAGCGTCGCTTAAAAGTACTCGAACCTAGCGGGTGACCCCACCAATGGATTCCTCGTTCGGAGAGCAATCCAATGGTGGGGTCACACGTTCGGTTCGAGTCCCGTTTAGCGACTTTGGCTGGAGCTGAAAACCTGTCTCGGATTTAGACAGCCTCCGCCGGTCTCTGGCCCGCTGGGCACCTCCATGCCGCGCGGCCCCGACGCCCGGACTCCGTTTGCTCTGCACCTGATTTCTATTTAAATTTCATCCGGCTGCGAGCAAACCGGCGGCCGGTATCTCTGGCGGCGCGGCGGAATCAAATTTAATAATTTACTTTCGGAGGGGGAAGGTGACGGCAGTTCTTTGTGGGGCCGACTTACTGCCGACGTGTTGCCGCGGTGATGCGGGAGACTCGGGCTGGCGAGGCCGCGGTAGGTACACCGCGCCTGTCGGAAGTCGCACCCAAGGTCGCCCCTAGGCCAACCCAAGGTCGCCCCAAGGCCAACCCAAGGTCACCCCAAGGCCAACCCAAGGTCGTCCCTAGGCCAACCCAAGGTCGCCCCAAGGCCAACCCAAGGTCGCCCCAAGGCCAACCCAAGGTCGCCCCAAGGCTAACCCAAGGTCGTCCCTGGGCCAACCCAAGGTCGTCCCTGGGCCAACCCAAGGTCACCCCAAGGCCAACCCAAGGTCGCCCCAAGGCCAACCCAAGATCACCCAAACGCCACCGCAAGGCCGTCGCAAGGACGCTCCAAAGTCACTCCCATTGCTCGCAAGCGTTGACACGGAGCCATGGCGCCCGCGGAACGGAGGATAGGCAACACGCTCGACTCCGGTGCGCGCGGGCTGCCTACCCCCGACCTGTCGGGCGCTCCTGGCCCTAGCGGCCTAAAATCTAAATGCGTTTTGAGCTCCAGAGTCACTTAACAGGACTTGGACCGAGCGTGCGACTCGACCAATGGATTCCTCGTGCGGAGAGCAATCCATTGGTGGGGTCAAAAGTTCGGTTTAAGTCCCGTTTACCGACTCTAGAGCTCAAAACGCGTCCGGGATTTTGACCGCCTCCGCCGGTGTTCCGGCCCACTGTGCGGCGCGGCGTCTAGCACCGAGTCCGCCTGCACCTCCTCCTTCTTCTCCTCAGCGGGGTGCCGATCAGCCTGGCCAGTGAAAGGGGTGCTTTGTCCAATAAAGGGCGGCCTTTGCGGGGATGACAAGCTACTTATAGCGTAATGCAGTTGTCCCCTCCGTCCAGGGGGTGTATACAGGCGCCCGGATGAAAAAGTGTTTTTGTGACGTTTGGGCCGGACCGGGCCGGTCCGGGCTGGACCTCCAATCCCCCGGGCTTGGCGTGGCCAGCCGGCTGTCCGCAGAAAATATAGAGTCACTGCGTGGGATCAGGAGGAGGGGAAGGGGGATGCTCAGGAGTCGAGCCAGCGGCGGACTCGCACGCATCATCGGTGGTGGTGTCCCTGTCCTCGCGAATGGAAGAACAAGGACGGAAAAAGAACAATATTTCCGTGATTCGTCCTGAAATTCGGAACACGCCTCCGCTAACGAAATCGCGCGGCTACACGGACTCCAAACGCCGCACTGTTGTCCCGCAAATTGCATTTGTCGCCTAATCCCATTGCGTTTTGATTCGTTCCAGGGGCCATTTTCGACCAGGGCACGGACGAGATCCGGCTGGCCTTCGAGTTCGCCATGCTGAACCACAACCACAACGTGACGGGCCGCCGCTACGAGCTGGAGGCCTTCGTGGACGTCATCAACACGGCGGACGCCTTCAAGCTGTCCAAGCTCAGTGAGTACATCACGGCCAGGGAGGCAAATAGAGTCATGCGGCGCAGTGGCGTTCAGGGCTAGCTGCTCTGTGGATAGAAAGGGAGGGAAGAGGCGCCCTTTGAAATATTTAGCGCGTGGAGAGGAAAGGGAGGGAAGAAAGTGAAAATTGGTGTGTGTGTGCGTGTGTGTGTGTGTGTGTGTGTGTGTCTGCGTCGCGACCTGCACTGCTCATCCCACCCCGGAGGCTTGCCACTGTAGGATGAAACCGCAGACCCCGTCGACAAGTGCACACCGAACGGCAGAGGTGCGAAAAGAATTGAGTTCCGCGGTAATTACTAACTTCCATGTGCTTTCCGTTTTGACGCTGCGCTGTTTAGGATTCGAATCAGACGTGTGAGGGTGTGGTACGGATTTCCCGTTCGAAGGACAGTTGAATGGAGGCGAAAAAGGTTCCGAAAAATGTGTCATTTGAGGACTGTGGAGCTCGCGAGTCGAAGCGGGCCAGGCCAGACTTGTCCGCCGCGGCAATGGAGGTGGACGCCGCCTAGACGAATATTCGCTCGGCTGCGCATCTCTTATCAACTACAATCTGGAATCAATTTCGCCTGCAAACGCGGCGTGGCGTGGCGCCCGAAACTTCCTGACGAACAACAAGAAGCGTGCGGGGAGGGGAGGGGGGTGCCATAGCTCATGGCGCGCGGGAAAAGAAGGCTCTTGTTGCGGGATTTAGTGATTTATGACTCGACGAGTCGGCGCGGCAGAATTTCCTTCATTTTCGATATTGCAAAAGTTGTAATCGAGGCTGGCGGCGCGGGGCGGGCCATGCACACACCGTGTAGGGCCCGTCGGCCCGCGCGCCGCGAAGGGTCCGTAAGGGCCTGCAGGCCCTGTAGGGTGTCCGGCCGGGTTAGCGCCTTGATTACTCACCTTGACGCCAGGCGGCCCTTTGTGGCAACGAAGGGTGGTAACTAATTGGCCGTGGTTTCTCTCGTCCACGAAGGGTTAAAAAAAGGGCTGCGGCGCCGACCGTCGAGGTCGAGGAACCGTTTGGGGGACTGGTTGCGTTCGAGTAAGACTCTCCGCTGCGATGCATGTCGCTGCCCTTTTTGGCTCCGAGCCCCCGCCCGGGTGGATGGGCAAATCCTCTGAAAAGAAGCTTTCACCCGTCCCAAGGTACCGACGACGGGGCTTTCGCTCGCTAGTGCTTGATAAAAATGCGCAGCTCGGTTCCCGCCCAGATGATCCGTACTCCGGCGAACAGACGGGCGGACAGGCGGACGAGCAGACAGACAGACAGACCGGCGGGAGGTCGTGCTCCATCTTAAAGTGAGCAGCCTCACATAATCCTCATTGGACGCCGGAATATGCCACGCCCGTCGCACGGCGTCGCACGGCGTCGCGCGCCACATAGATGACGTGCTCGCAGCGGCTCAGCCCAGCCCCACCCCACTGCGCGAATCCGGGAGGCTCGCGTCGCCGCGCCGTCTCTGTCGCACTCACGGGGCGCTCCGCAGGGCGACAGAGAGACAGGGCGGTCCTTCAGACTCACCCGGCTGCAGGGCGGGGCCCGGCGGGGCACTGCTCAACCCTTTTGATCGCTCTACCAGAAATTAGGTTCCCCACACCGCAATGCACGCGCCGAAACTTCTTGTTCTAAAACTTTCTTTTCGTATTTTTTTTTGTATGTGTGTACTGAGCGCACTGTCGAGTTTGCAGAGTTGTCGCTCGTGCAGTCCCTTGGTTTCCCTCCGCCCTTTTCCCGAGCTCTCTTCCTTGTCCCTCACCTGTCCGCGCCCCGGAGTCTCAGGACTCCACCTGCGGCTCACGACGGCGGCCTGCCCGCCCCGCGTCCACGGACAGCGGACTGATGCCGCCAGGCGTCCGGGAGCCACTCGGGGCCGTCGTTTGAGAGAGAGGGAGAGAGAGAGAGAGAGAGGGAGAGAGAGAGAGAGAGAGGAGAGAGAGAGAGAGAGAGAGAGAGAGAGAGAGAGAGAGAGAGAGAGAGAGAGAGAGAGAGGCCGTAGTCTAGTCGGGCGCTGCTGCCTCGTTGTTGTCGTTTCCGCCTGTCGCCCTGCCTTCTTCTTCTTCTTCTTCTTCTTCTTCTTCTTCTTCTTCTTCTTCTTCTTCTTCTTCTTCTTCCTCTTCTCCCCCTCCTGCCTCCCCGCCCCTTCCTCCGCCCCCCTCGTCCGTCCCAGGTGTTGGCCGGGAGGGCCGAGCGAGCGGAAAAATACCTTAATTGAAGTCGGAGGAGGAAAAAGTGCCGGGCGAGCGATTCAGAAAAGAGCGGCTCGTCACTCTCTCTCTCTCTCTCTCTCTCTCTCTCTCTCTCTCTCTCTCTCTCTCTCTCTCTCTCTCTCTCTCTCTCTCCCGTCCTTACGGAGAGCCCCGTGCGTGCGACAGAGACAGAGCGACTAGACGCGACTCTTCTGCATCGCTCGGCAGTCGGCGTCGTGTCGCGACAAGACCAGGAAGCACGGTCGCTTCCCAGTGGACCACCGGCAGACTGATTCCGAACGAAAATGGCGTCGCGGCGGCGCCGCTGTCTCCCTCACGATCACGTGGCTCACCGTCGCGGAGCGAGAGAGACAGAGTGACTCTTGGAAATGAGTCTTCAGCGCCCTCGGCGGGCTGCTGTGGCCGTAGATAAAACCATTTCCATGGTCGCGCCCCTCTCCCTCACGTCACCGCATGACGGGCTGTCTGGCGCGCCGAATTTCGTCGCGGGGGGGGGGGGGGAGTGGAGGGGGTAAGTCAGTCGCCGGGAAGGAGGCCAGGAGCAAGCGGGCACGCGCGGGATCTCGCGGGGATCTCTTGTGCCCGCCGCGCCCCACCCACCCCGCCCCGCCCCGCCCCGCCCCGCCAAGCCGCGGCCGGCAACCCCGCTGGGATCGAGGTGATAGGAAAATGGATAATCCCCTGGCGTGGGGCGGGGTGGGGTGGGGTGGGGTGTGGCGTGTCGAGGCGGGGCGGGGTGGGGCGGGGTGGGGCGGGGTGGGGCGGGGTGGGGCGGGGCGGCTTCCTGGTCACGGTCGGGCTGGCCGGCCGCTGGCCGCCGCGGTGGCCGAGTGGTCCGTGCCGGGGTTTGCGGGGGCAGTGCCGGCGGTGGTGCCGGGCCGTGCTGCTGGGGAGGTTTCGGCTGTAAAGGGTCGCCCGCAGAATAGTTCCAGCGGGTTGAACTATGTTCTACTCCATTTAATGGGTGGCTGGGCGTGGCGGGGCGGGCGGGGCGCGTGGGGGCTGTGCCTTAACTGAGACGCGCTGACGTACCCATCAGGACAACTCGTGCGGCGCTCTGGCGGCAACGCGCTGGGTCAATGGGGGTGGTCTGTTAATTACGTCACGTGCAGGTACACTCCGAGAAAAAAAATCAAATTCACCCGTGCTGATTTTTCTTTGTCGAATTGGATTTTTTTCTTAGCTGTGTACTGCTCACAGTACCTCGCGAGAATTCTTCGTGCTAAATTCTCGGTCAATCTCGCCCAACCTTGACTTCCGAGTGGCGTCCTCGTCCCGAGGCTACAGCAAATGAAACAGACTGCAAATAACGGCGGGTGGTAGAGCAGTTGCAGTAAGGCGCGCAGATAGAGGCGGCAGTGCAGTGTGGTGGCTGTGCGGGCTGGCTGCGAACGGCACCGCTCTGTCTCTGTCGCACTCGCGGCGCGTCCCGCGGGGGCGCGAGAGAGACAGAGCGACGAGGCGCCACTCGGAATGAGCCTGCTGTGCAGGCTTTGCATTTTGCTCGCATGAATAATTTATGGTCCGGAAAGATACCGCCCGCTTAGCGCGGCCAGCGCCACGCCACGCCACGCCGCGCGATGCCACGTGTTGTTGGCGCGTGTTTTGATTCGTGATCAGCGGCGCTGCTGCACCACACTGTGTCATCGCGAGATATTTTCGGCCGGCTGCGCGACGCGCTGTCTCTCTCGCACCCAGGCTGAAAGCCCTAGCGCACTGTGGGCTAGAAGACTGGAGCAGGCGGCCGAAACTGTAAACGCGTTTTGAGCTCCAGAGTCGCTAAACAAGGCTGGAACCAAGCGTGTGACCCCACCAATGGATTCCTCGTTGGAAGAGCAATCCGTTGATGGGGTCACACGCTCGATTCGAGTCCCACTTAGCGACTCTGGAGCTCAAAACGCGTCCGGGGTTTTGATCGCCTCCACCGGTCTTCTGGCCCACTGTGCGGCGCGGCGGTGCGCAGGGCCGATTATGCCGCCGCTCCACCCGTAATTCTGCAGTGGCGCGCATCGCGTTATTTCGCGGCTGTTCGCTGCTGATTGTGCTTCTGGCACGCGTACACCGCGAAAGCGCACTCCAGTTTAACGAGTGTAGGTGCAATGATGTTCCTGGAAGCGGGCGCGCCGCTGGAACGGCAACGGCTGAAACCGAAACCGGACCGCTAAATTATTTTGCAAGTCGAAGTAACGGCCGTTCCGTTCGCCGCCGTCAGGTCGCGCTGCTGCAGGCCCGTCGTTCGGGACGGTCAACCTGCATGGCCGTCTCTGCGGCCCCGTCGTCCGCGCGGCCGCTTCAACCAGTAATATAAAACCTTTCTTTTTTTTGTACGAAAAAAAAATGAAATCTCTGCTGAGTTTATTTCGACTCCGGAACACCCGGACGAGCCCTCCTCTGCTTTTGCTTATCTCGGTGATCTTGCCAGCAGCCAGCCAGCCGCCGCCTCCTCTCCGGCAAACGCGCCTCGCCTCTCGGTGCAGTGTGCAGGGCTTTCCTGAAGCGCCTCCCCGTCCGTCGGTCTGTCGGCCTGTCCGTCCGTCCGCCCGCCCGTCCGCTTGGACGCGTCCCCTGCCGCCGAGCTAAGCCCGTATCGGCTCATTAAAACTCACAGGGGAGTCAATGGTCTGGATTGTCCCGCCGATGCAACAGCCCAGCAGCCCAGGCAGGACCGCACTGCATTTTGCATTGTATCGGAAAAGCGGTGGGCGATGAGGGCCCGGCCGGACGGGGAGGGGAGGGGGGGGGATGAGAACACATGTTTGCTATCGGGACCGCGTGCAGCGACTC